TCATTTATTGCTGCATGCAGTTCTGATATTTGCTATAAAGTCGTGGCATTAGTTAAAGATTATTCTTTTAGTAATATTCTATTCTGTGTCTATTTAGCATTCCTACATTTTTAATAAAAAATTAGCAATATACAATTATTAACATATGTGTAACAGTAAGATAGCTATCATCAAATATTAAATTTGCATAGTCGAATAAAATTTTGAATAAAATTTGAATTAAAAAAGATATTAGCTCTTTCTTCATCGCTTTTATCTTTTTCATTTAATATTTCATTAATTCTTGTTTCAAATAACTGGCGCTGGCTATTGAGTTCTTTTTTCAATTTTTCTCGATCTTCATTTATTTTTGCAAGTTCCTGTATCAACGGATTGATTTCAATGATTCATTATCTCTATTATCATATGCAATAATAACTACTATCATCAAGTTTGTGCGCTGCAATAACTTGTTTTGCTTTAGCAGTCTATTCAGACAATGTGATATAGAATGAATTTTTTGATTCATCTGTGGTAGTTATAGGCGGAATAGTATATAATGATTTCCATTTAGGCAGTTTATTTATGTCTTAGGATGTAAGTCCTTCAAATTTGTCATTTTAACAGCATACTGCTTGCAATATTACCTTTATAAGATCGGCAACCCTCTTTTTATCTTCTAAACGTAAATCTTTAATCGTTACACCTTCATTGAGACGCATTTGTTCGGTATCATTCATTATTTTATTAACATTAGATGCTGAAGCTTGCTTATTCGCCTTTCTTGAAATGGTTTTATTTTCTGATAAAATCATTATGATATGAGTTGGTCAATTAAATCTATTTAGCGCCTATTAACTTCTAAGTTATAGACGATTTACGTAGTAATGCATACCGCATTTCGTATCAATGATGATTATCACATGCGATAATATCGATAATTAAGTAGTCAAACTTTTAGCTTGTAAAACAGCCTTAACTAATAACACTGCCTCTGGAAATCAGATCAGTATTTATTTAATATAAACGTTAATTTGCGATATATAAGAATAGTTTAGCGTACATTTTCATTGCTAATCATTATCCCATGAATTAGTTAATGGGATAACGGGAAAGAAAATTCTAGAAAGGTTTAATTCGGAAACAAATATTGACCTACCGCGCGTATCTAATGACATATTGGTAATCGCTTTTCCATCCTGTTTATGTTTATCCTGGCGAACTTTTAATTTAATATTTAATGTTATGACTAGTTAATCCTTGCAAACCCGTTATGCCTTATAAACCTTCAGTAGCTATCCATTAAAACATTATATTTCATAGCAAAGTAATCTATCTATAACAGAAATCAATTCATTTCTTGCTTCTTGATTAAGTTTTCGCTTAGTTTAAAACCTCTGATGTTTAAAATGTTTTTAATTAATTTCCTTTTAATCCTTACATTTACTCCAGAAGAAGTCGACTGGATGGCGGTCTTGCTCATTGAAGGCCATTGTTGCCTTGGTGACTGAGCATGTGCAGAAATTTGAAATCTTCCTCACACTTTCTTGCATCAGTTTCAGCAAAGATGATGAATAACTAATTCAGTTTATAGACACTTAAAGATGATATTAAGGAGTTTAAGAAAGGATAAATGTATCTAAGATTACAAAATCAAGAGAGAGTACTTGGTTAATTAAGTTAACTTAGTAAGGGATCCCAAGATGAGAGGCTACAATACTCCGTAAAGTACATACAGTATCCTGGTTCTTATTATTAGGGGTTTATTAAGAAAGAAGAAATGTGTCTACGAGCTCAACATGGAGACAGAGCACTTGGTTAATTATGTTAGTAAGAGTACTGTACTATCTGACCTTGTGAATTTCGAAAGCCTGGGTGAAGAAATTACAAGAGAGTAGAGCAATTTCAGCGAGGTGCACGAAAAAATTATATTGGGGTGAATGGGTCCACACGAACCAATTCACTATTGCATACTGTTGACTCGATTCTGCAACACGCTAAACAGAAGTGACAGAGTTTAGTCGAGAAGTAAACTATCAGCTTGTAGAGTGTATAAAAGTGTTTCGCTACATACCAAGATGTGGCTTACTCGTAGAGCTGTTCGACTTTTCTTATCATTACAACACAGCATTTTGCGTCCATAAGGTACACTAAATCGTGCTCATGTCGGCCAACGCTCCAATGATGGTTAAATAAATAATAATGATTTTGACTGACAAGAAGTGTTGTTCAAGTTCCAAAGCGTTGTTGATTGAACAGTGCTCAGTAAAAGAGGCATCCTTGAATTTTATTGATTTGATACGTCGAAAAATATCGATTTTAGTAACTGTCGAGCAGATTTTAATGATGGAAAATCATATCGTTAGTAGCATCATTTTTTTTATTACACAGCTGTAGTCATAGGAACACTGCAGAGTAACTACTTTGCTGGCTAGAAACAATGAGAGCTGTAAATTGCGATTGCGAACTGGCATAGAGACAGTTTTTTTTTGCATTTTTGATCATGTTAGTAGGTCATTGCAGAGACTACCTAACAAACGATCATTTTCCCTTTAGCTTAATACTATAAGGAGATAGAAGAAATGTTTTGAGTGCTGCTGCACCCTATGTGCTGATCAATTTAGACGATACTGTCGTTGTATTAATCAGTTTAGCGGTTCAATATCCCCCGCGATTTTAATTTTATACTATACTAATTAAGAAATTAGGGTAATAAAAAATATCAAAAAATCGCTCCACACTGGTTCTCACTTGGCCTGTATACTCGCATATGGTTTCTATTTGTAAAAACAGCTCAAGAAATTGGTTGCTAATCATACCAATTAATAATGCGTTTGAGTATTTTTGCTGGTCATTCTACCATACGCTATCACTGAAACCGTATATCACTCTGTACATGGTACCTACTATAATCATTCAAGCATCTGATTTGGATGATTTGCAAGACTTTCGCGGACAGTATAGTCTATCGTTTCAGATATACAGTACTATAGACTTGAGATGACCAACAAAATCGTCAGTCTCGTCATTTTTACTCCAATTAACGGCTATTACCAATCGCCTCCCATTTCCTCTTTGAGAAAACTGTAGCAAACCCTGTGCAAAGCGAACTGTCGCCTCTTGTAGCTTTACCTTGGTCATATACCAAAGGGTCAAGACAAACAGTACGACAATGAATTTGCACATGATAGTAATCCTCTTACTTATACGCTATCAGTGAGACTAACATGGTATATGATTAATCAATCATTCAGGCATCTGATTTAGATGATTTGCAAGACTATCGTGGACAGTATAGTCTATCGTTTCAGATATACTATAGACTTGAGATGACCAACAAAATCGTCAGTCTCATCATTTTTACTCCAATTAACGGCTGTTACCAATCGCCTCCCATTTCCTCTTTTTAAGAAAACTGTAGCAAACCCTGTGCAAAGCGAGCTGTCTCCTCTTGTAGCTTTACCTTGGTCATATACCAAAGGGTCAAGACAAACAGTATGACAATGAATTTGCACATGATAGTAATCCTCTTATACGCTATCAGTGAGGCTAACATGGTATATAATTAATCATTCAAGCATCTGATTTGGATGATTTGCAAGACCATCGTGGACAGTATAGTCTATCGTCTCAGATATACTATAGACTTGAGATGACCAACAAAATCGTCAGTCTCATCATTTTTACTCTAATAAGCGGCTGTTGCCAATCGTCTCCCTTTTCTAGTTGAAAAAAGTGTAGCAAAATCTGCGCAAAATGAACTGTCGCCTCTTGTAGCCTTGCCTTGGTCATATACCAACGGGTCAAGACAAACAGTATGACAATAAATTTGCACACGATAGTAATCCTGCTAGAGACAGCCGTGATGTCAATCAATACTGGATTGCCATTGGCCATGACCAATGTGTACCGTACAGTCCATACTCGTATAGTGATCTATAGAAGAAAAAAATACGACGTAGCTCGGATAGCAAGTAGGACCTAGAGAGCGTTATTGCACGCGAGCTTGATGATCAAGATATCGAAATCCTAACGGAAAGGAATAGAAATGGTTGCAAAGTACAGCATATCACGTTATCACGTCTAAAAGGTTGCAATCTTTCTACTGCGATAGAGCTAATCGGTTGGTATTGAGCCTTGAACTTGTTACTGTGGATAATCTAATTGTAGCATACCTGTATATTGAATGCTTGCAACACTGCCCAAGGTAGTCCAGGTTATCTCAAGGTGTAGCCGAAGGAGTTGGAATCGATTAATAGCTAATAGTAGTGTTCAATTATTTCTATCTACGAGTTGGTTGTGCCATTACACCATGAATAAAGCTATAGTCAGGATCCCTCCAGATAACAATATTGTTTGCATTGATTATGATATTGGATTTAAGATGCGTTACTTGCAACGCGACAAAGATGAAGTCGTCAGTCGTGCATTAGCCAGAATCAAGTTAAGTTATATCAAGGAAAAACAATCCCCAAAAAAGAAAGGAAAACGCAATCGACAACCACCACAACAAGATTCGGATGTACTACAGGCTTTCTTACTCGATGGGAATGGAAATCGAATAGATGAAAATATCACCAACGGTATAGCATGGTCTCAAGCAAAACAACTCATTGTTGGTGATAAACAATATGCTATTGAAGTTAATCCACCCAAGATTTTATCCTTGCGCTTACCGGATACGATAATGGCTCAATTTCCTATGGTACCGATATTGACTGCGGAATTTACTGATACCATAAAGTACGATTGGTTTACCATAGCACCTGATAGTAATGAAGAGACATTAGTTGAATCTAAGATTGTCAATCACGATTCTACGCAAATAACGGCCTTTATACCCCAAACTCAGCATGTTGGCTCCAAGTTAAAGGTAGTTTGCACACCTTATAATAGCCAACATACTCAAGGCTCCGATCCTTCATCTGTAACCGTAGCGGCAGCAATAACTGCTGGTCCAGGTACTTGCCCTTGCCAAATGACTCATCTCTACACCAAGAAACGTTTAACTCAACCTGATTCTTTCCGCATTGTCAGTTATAACGTGTTAGCTGATACTTATTCAAGTCAAGAGCATACACAAAAAGTCTTATTCCCTTATTGTCCTCCATACGCACTCAGTATTGATTATCGAAAGTTGTTAATCACACGAGAGCTATATGGATACAACGCCGACATTATTTGTTTACAAGAATGCGATAAAGATATATTTAACCAATTCTATGCTCCGTTTATGAAAGGGTTAGGCTACGATGGCATCCAAGATAGCAAAAGTATGCTCAATTTTACATGCATATAGCTCACACAAAGACTTGTAGATTACAAAAGTTTCATGGATTTATTCTCTTCAATCCCCATATAGTCGATCATTCTCCTTTCTTATCCATCATAACTAGTGTTGAACATCACTTGCTCAAGATATCGAACTTTTCTATTCTTGATATCTTTCATTGACTAACTCCATCTATTTTACCCTTATTAATCCTAGTTAACAATAGAGAAGGAGAAGCGACATTCTATCATATGGATCGATTTAATATGATTGATCATCATTGTCAAAGTATTGGTAATACCTTGAAAAATGTGAGTTTAAAACTAAATGGAATATGGTCATCATTTTTATTGATGATTGGCAGTAATATACCTGGATTGCTTTTTACCATACATAACATAGGATGAAATCTTTGAACAAATTTGTAAATGTCCCACATTGAAGTATAGGTTACTTAACAGGAATAGCATAGTACAGGTATACAGAAGTAAACATAGCCGTAGTTTTATTTAAAGTGCAATTTTATATTTTTTAGCGGGGATCCATTGATAGATAATTGAGTTATTTCTACCTTTAGATTGTAACTTTACAACCCAAAGAACTGGAGAATATTAGATTGGTAGTAGTCAATACGCACTTTTATTTTAGACCACAAGCTTCTCACATTAGAATTCTTCAGGGCTATTCCATGTTGAAATGTGTAGAGAAATACTGTGAAAAATTCATAGGTAAGTTATTTGTATTAAAAATATCACTATTCCAAATGTAGTATACATACATATTCCGCATAGGCCTATTTGTATCTACTCTTAATGCTTCCATCCTTCATGTAGGTAATGATGTTCGAGTTTTATACTGTGGAGATTTTAATAGTCATCCTCGTACAGCTCTTGTTAAGTTAATGACAACTGGTAGTGTCCAATCCAATGATCCTGTATGGCATGAAGGCGGCGAGGAAGAATTCTGTGAGAATATTTCCCTACGAAATGACAAGAAATGTGTTAGTTTTACTGGATATCCTCAATTTACTAATTTCGTCAATGGATTCGTCGAATGTCTGGATTATATATTTGGTCAGCCGGAACATTTTCAAGTCGAACAAGTCTTTCCTTCTATGACAGAAGAAGTAGCTGCCGCATATACCGCTTTGCCTTCTGTTGTTTCACCGTCCGACCATGTTGCTATTGGCTGTGATTTGAGATTGAAGTAGTTGTTTGCCATGGTTCAGTTATGATCTTTTACGAAATTCTTAACTGCAGTTAATTTATTTTAATCAAAATTCTGTCTGCATTGCTTTCATTTATACTTCATCACGAATGGAAGCAACCAATCGAAGTAATATGCAAATTTTACTGCATTTTTCTTATTCTTTAGATCTTTCTTAACTCTTGTCGATGCAGTCATAATGATAGAATTAGCTAATGTTACAAAATTGCAGAATCAGTATTAGCATAGTATTTAGTTTGCGCAATGAATTGGCAATTATTCAGTTGACATACAGTACAGAATATATTTTACAAATATTTTTACATGGCTTTACGATTTATCAGCCTTGAGACATGAATTACTATTACATCGTGTACATGACAATGATAGAACTACTCCGCTGATATTGCGTTGTGATAAATCCTCTGTAAGATTTACATTCACTGGATAATAATACTGTACGTTATACAATACTTTTTGATGATATTTGATCGCTACCAAATTATTCATCATAATATAACTTGAAAGTACCGAAATCTATAGTATCATACGTGCTAGCTAATTTCTGACGATGCGCACGATAACTAATGATTTTGCAGTTTGATTCCGTTGTACAGTTAAATTTATAATTTTAATACAATTGTTATTTTCAGCATCTTGGACCAAAGTAGATCTTAAACAGAGCACATAGAAATTACGCGTCTGATCGTTTAAATATTAATAAGTGTAATTGATATCAGTCTACTGCTAATTGTTATTTCGGTCTGGTATAGTAAGCGTTGATCGATTCGATTATCTTAAGGACGAATATGAACGATAAAATCATGCAAACGGTGCTTGACGAAGTTATACGATATGTACAACTACCGTACGATAACCGTGGTAGTCAATATATATTTTCGTGATTCAAAAAAACTCTGAGGGGTACATGTTTCGTTTCGATTTTAACTTAAATGAGCTCTATGAGGTGTCATTATTATGATAATATCAAATATTGATCATTTATCAGCTCTTAAAACACAACTTGACGAAATGCGACTTCGTATATTGTGTAATTTATGTATTTCAATTTTAACTACACGATATCAACTACTGAATATAAATTGACTCGCTATGACAATAAATGGCGAATTCTTCGCTGCTAAGATCATTTCTATTTTCGTACAACAATCAGATTACAATTTCATAATTAAAGATGGACTGGCCTATTATCATTTTGCTTTCGTAGATATGGGTGTATGCTTATAATGTCTGGTGATGTTTATCTTTCGCCCTAAACTAGTATCATGAATTTACAATGTCTGAATTGCTATAATCTTAGAGAGTGAGATCGTACCACATGATCTACTCTAATAAGATCAAAACAAGTTTAATCTTATAAACTCAAACATATTTTCAATAGCACGAAGTATCTTTTACATTAAATGTTCCATTTCTTATAGATGAATACTGGACAATTAAAAGCAAAAATATGTGAATGCATTTTTATATGATCGCCTTATCATTGGCCTGCCCAGATTATTATGATAGGATAGATTCATCTGGTGATATTTTTATGGTTATTATTAGCGTAAGCAGCGATTGGCAGATTTGTGGAATCAGAAATGGGGCATTTTTGACCGATTAAGATAAACTATGAAAGGATAGATAAAATAGAAAGTATTAATTTACAGAATCAGAAATGTGTCATTTTTAATCGATAAACTGAAAGGATAGAAGAAATAGAAGGCTTTAATTTACGGAATCAGAAATGTGGCATTTTTGATCGATAAGTTATGAAAGAATAGATGAAACAGAAGGCATTAATTAATTTACGGAATCAGAAATATTGCAGTTTTAATCGATAAACTATGAAAGGATAGATAAAATAGAGGGCTTTAATTTGTGGAATCAGAAATGTAGCAGTTTTGATCGATTAAGATAAGCTATGGAAGGATAGTAGGCATTAATGTAACTCCATAGCGTAGTTTGCGAATTTTTCGATTCTAGAATTGTAGATATAGCGTTTGTATCGATTCGAGTATTTTACGATAGAATAAGATGACCTAAATTAAATGACAATATATTACCATTATCATAAAATTTTAGATTTATAAAGCTGGAAACATAGCGTTCGTATCAATTAGGATAGACTCTGATAAGATAAGAGGGGTTAGTTAGAATTTATTAAAAGATTAATATTCCAAATAAAATAATGAATAAAGTTGCATAAGGTTGTATCGATCAGAATAAACGATAATGATAGGATAGCTTCTCCCAAAGTGATAATAGTAAAAGCATAGCAGAACTGATGCGTTGCTACCCATTAGTACAAAGCATCAGAGAATAAATTAAAAAGATGGCATTAAAAGATTTTTCTAATATAAACAGGAATAAGACTGTTGAATCAGGCTTGTAAGATCTCTATCAATTAAAATGGATTCAATTTATAATATTATTGCATCTATATCGAAAGTAAGAATAATACTAGTATCACAGACTTGAAATGATAGCCTTGTAACCGATTGGAACAGAGTGCGACAAAATAAGTTGAATAGATGACAGGACATATTTCTTCATTTAAAGTGGAAGAAATCGAAATAGGATTGTAAAGCTAGTGATTCATAAAGAAAGATTCGATAGAGAGAATAATAGAAAAATATAGAAACTTGAAATCATGACGCTGGTGCCGACTGGGATCGATTACAACGTAATAAATTGAATCGATGACATTAAAAATTTCCCTATTAAAACTGGAATAAAATTATCAAATTATAATTATAGGAATCGTTGCCTATAAAGATGAATTTTAATAGTTAATGTTAATGTATCTCTAACGAAAATAGGGACAATAGTATCACTGAGGTAAATAATAGCATTTTTATCAATTATGATAGACCATGATGGAATAAATTCAATGAATGAAAATAGATATGAAGAATTTGAGCTAATTACAGTAGCAACATGAAGGACGGTGACGCTAGATTATATAACCCATTCACCACAAGAGGGTTTCGACCTAAAAACAAGGATAGAACTATTGAATTGCAATTATAGCCCTTATTTCTTAATAAGATAGATTCAATAGACAGTATTGACGAATCTAGAATCTCTATCAAAAGTGAGAATAGCGGGTAGCATCGCAGACTTGAATGATTACTTTGTTGTTGACTTGGCTAGAACACGATAGAACAAACTAAATGCATGATATATAAAGACTTCCTTTTTATTTTTGATAGAATTGTTGAAGAGAATAACAGCATCGTTGACTAGAAACAATGGTGTTATTAGAGATTGAGACATAGCACGATAAAATAAACGATATTCAAGATTCCCTTTAGAATCTGACAGAACTGTTTTGAGTTAAAATTGTTGCACTTGTTAACAATCAAGAAAATTAAATTATTAAACATCAATATTTCTCTATCAAACATCTAACTGTAACTAGAGAATAAGATAGTGGTATATGCCATGGATGAGGACGATTTAATTGACTCTCTGAACGGATGCATCTATTAGAGACAAAATGTTTATCAATTTTATCCATAATAATATTTAACGAAGAAATATTATTAAAAAGTAATAACTGATTTATATTGATTAGCCTAGATAGAAAAATAATAGAACAGTCAATTATTTATCATTTTTATTTTACTGATCAGATTGAACTCTCCATGTGAAAAGTAACTATTATGAGCTTGATTTAAATGATTTATAATCATCAACAATTTATGTTAGGAATAGATCAAGGCTTAGTTAATAATTTGGATAGATTAGGACTGCGGATTGGATTATTTTTTTGTCCTTATTAATGATATTGCTTCATTGTCAGCAGATTATTATATAGAATATATTGCTATATGTGTAATATGGATGGCAATGCTAACTTAAAGTTCATAACATAAATTTCATTTTTATAGTAATGATCTTCATTTTCGGATTAAACATGTCGATAATAATCAATAATAAGCGTAATACATTCGGAGTTATCATATTCAAAATATAAAGATATTTCTGTAATATTAAAAATACCATACTTTGAAATGTTCTGCTTATGGCAGTGAAAATAGTAACATGTTTACTCGTTTACAAACAAGTGTAGAGCGGCAAGCAATTAAAATAAGTATCTTATGAAATGATCGCAAAAGAGAAATCCTCATCTGCTATGATTAAGTGGATTAGATAATTCATTTTCTGATTGTTTTGTAACAAGTTATAAATGATACACGGGATAAATTTTCCTCTTACTAAGTACGTATAAAATCATCCTACCACGATTAACCGATTAAAAGATCGATATTCAAAAATTAAGCCATGGCAAGTTGTGTTAACACGATTTTTGACTTCAACTATATTTTAAAACTGACAATCAGACTTTTAGCATACTTTTAGCATTATCAATCTATCTATAAAAAAATAGCGAATGAAATTGCCGGTAATCATATGTAAAAGATTCTCCTGGCTGGAGCAGAGTTGAAATAAGATGCTCAGTTAGAGTATAAAATATAAAGATACCGTAAATGTTAACCATGCCTAGTAGTTAATAAACAATCAGAAGTGAAATAGCATCATAATGAATTGATGCCTCCTAGATGAAGATGAGAATATGATTTTAGCTATAAAGATTCATTGTAATAACATCGTTAGGATAAATCAAATTCTGCTTAAAAAGGGAAAAATCAAAATCAACTTTCATTTTGACTACGATGAAATAATGGTCAAAGCGTAGGCAAGATAGTCGATTAAAAGAATATTTACCAACGATCTATATAATAGCGTAGAATAGCCTTTCCTTCTTATCCAACAATGCTAAAACGACGAATTAGTACTTTTTCGACACTTATGACACGTCAAAATTCTTTCAAAACTATGCCGAAATGTCTTATTTAGAAAACCATAAATGAAACAGTTAATAGCACTGTTGCTATAGCCGACTATAAAGACTAAATTAAGGATAAATGGTGATACCGGTTGGATAAAAAAAAAAAATTGTAAAATGAAAGCACCAGGAGACCAAGCTAACAAAAATGCCAGCAGGACAATAAACATCATACGGGTTACTTTGGCATCGTCTTTCAAGCGGGCTAAAGGCAATCGATTACCAAGTGCATCTTGACTTGGGCTTCGTTGAGATTTTTTATTCAACATGGGCACAACAACACTGGAGCCAACTTTCATAGCAACACGTATTACCATACTTCTGGTTCGTGGAATATGATTTTGAAAACTGCGATATTGCTTTCGTAGAATTAAGTAAATTTTAATATAAGCAAAAATCATAATCGATAGAGGTAAGAGAATATTAATTAAGATCATTAAAAATTGGTGCTTAAATGGTATAGAATAATCAAACCAGCAATCGAAAATTTGTGGATGATAGTAATAGGGCGACCATAATTCAGCTGTTGCTGCACTAACAAATGACCAAATCCACAATAAGACTACAACCGCGTAAGCTTTTCGTTTGGTTAATAAGGTATGGCTACGATGTGGAAAAGCAACTAAGACATAGCGTATAATACTAATGACCACTAACATCCAAACCGATACGACTAGAATGGAAGCATTTAAGATACCAATAACTTTACACGAAGTAGCATCGCCAATCCATTCGCCTATGATGGTACTTGAAAGTACAGCAGGGATAATAACTATACCAACGATTAGATCAGCAAGGGCTAAATTGAAAATCATGATATTTGTGACATTCTGTAGTTTGGAATACGTAACCATGCAAACTAATAAATTTCCAAAGATGGAAAAAAACATAATTATAGGTAAAGTTACATAACGTAAGATGTAGACATCAGAGGTGACAGTGAGATTGGAACTAAGAGGTGATGTAGTATTATCCATGATAATTTGAACAGATTACAGTATATCGATAATTCAACGGTTGAAAGCGAGTAAGATGCTAGAGATTTAAATATCAATAGTTATTCTAGGATGACCGAGATAGCATAGGGTAGATTACTGGTTTTGCATTAAGTACAACTCGAATATGGATGCTTTTTCCTTTACTCTTCGTCTTCTCCTAGATTTTAATAGGACAAGATCAATTAGCGTAGCGTCTTGATTTCATCTGTTTGAAAGTTACTCTTTATTCTCTTCGCTTGTTCAATTTTCTCCTGAAATCATAATATGATTGTCAGTAATTTTAAACGGAAAGAGTAGCGTCAAAATGAAGTAATCAATTAATCATCAATCACTTAAGCTAAAAAGGAAGTAGAAATCAATATCTATTGAAGTTTTTAACCTTGCTCGACATGAATATTTTATTAAGATATAGTTGAACTCACTTATTGGATAATAACTCTTCGTGTTAAACGAAAAACAATAATCAACAGAAAGATGTTTTTTGTTGTTGTAACCTTTCAAGTTAACATCAATTCGTTTAGACACCATCAAATAGGGTTACATAATAAGTGATTACCATCCTTATAGTGGTTGATTAAGGCAATAATGAGTTGGCATAACCGCGAGACGACCTCGATTGTCTACGTTTCATAACTTGATTCTAAATTAGCTATTATACTAGCTCAGCTTGAAATCTACCTTGCCATAGATAAATAAGAAAGCCTTTAAAATAAAAACAAGTGATTATCTCTATTAGCATATTTACAATAAATCTAATTAAACAAAAGCTCTTTTATATCTAGCCTATTCAACACTCTGAGGCAATAATGAACTCCCATTAAAATAGCATTTTAATTCCAAATTGACTTGATAATCAATCTTAGCGCTATCATTCGTTATCCATTGATTTTATTGCTCTTATCTTGAATTGAACGGTAGAATTAATCAAATGCTTATTACATAACTGTCAGATTGTATTGTCCCATGCAGTAGCGTTAATAGTAATAGTTAAATCTGTTATTGTAAACTAAATCTCTAACAACAATGAGAAGTATTTAAAATGAGGTCAGATTATGATTAATTCATAGCAATTCATTTTTACTGAAATCATTATCCAATCCGAAACTCTGTCTGATTTTCCGATTGTATGTTATTCTTTACCTAGTAACGATATATTCAAAATTGATGACTAATTGTTTAGAGCAGATTGATTGGGTATAGGGTGTACGTGATAGTGTCTACATATAACATCTTAATTCAATTTTTCATCAAATTTTAATTGTTTACTATTTCATGTGTTAACGTGCAAATGAATATACTGTCATAGAAGATAATGTATCACATTGCATTGCGATCATACAATTAGATATGACTTAAAAGTAGAATTATTCTAGATATTTTTGCAAATTATTCGACTATAGCAAAGGGTGATTAAAACTGTTTTGTTATCTTTATTAATCAATAGTAATGATTTTAACCTAAAGAATAATATTCAGATTAGTTATCAAAGTAGGATTATTCTTACTATAAGGGAGTTATTAATAAACTTATTATGTGGAAGAATAATTATACCGGATTGGTTAATTACTGAACAAGTATCAATATTTCAAGCTATAAAGTACGGTACTATTTCAAAAATTGGCGATCGCAAATATTACTGTACATGTCGATGTACATTGAACGGTAGCTAAGAGATAGATAGATAAAATTCAAAATCTTATTTAGAATGTTACCTAATGAAACAAGTCTAATTTCCACAGTAGAATAATAAAGAATGTAGTCCAATAGGTTAAAATTGAAATTTTTAATAGCTTATTAATAATTTATAATAATGTGATAACAATAAAAATAGCTTTTTTATAATAAGGCAAAAGGTAATCAAAATATATCGTATGGACGTGAAAGCTAAATTCAATATCTGATTTATATTAAAAAAAATAAATAAAACTAGCTATTATGATACACGGTGACAAAATAGCAAACATAGCATTAATCATACAATACATAAAAACTTAAATCCAACAGCGGGTTAATTATTTATAATACTAGAAGATAAAAATGAGCTTAATTTTATAGAGAAAAAGGAGTAAGATTTCTAATTAACCAATATCATGCTAATGTTGAAAATCAGTAATAATTAATTAATTTAAAATGTTATAAAAGATTGAATCTATTGTATTAATGGATTTAATTCTTCTTTATTCAGTCTGAAATTTTAACTTCAAAGCAACGTCCTCCCCAATTTTAATAATTTTAAGTGAATAATGAGTCCGGCTAAAAATTTCATGGGCAATTAGATTTCGTATGTATTCTATTTTTCTGGCAGTAAAATTCGTCTTGTTGTTGTTCTAGACTTAGCCTAATAAAGTAATTTTAATTGGTTGCTAGCTAAAAATTAGATTTTTTGAACGTAGATAAATGTAGCCGTATATCGTATGATTATAATTTCAGGTACGTTTAACTACGATCATAAAACTTTCTTTTCGAGATCAATTTCTGGGATGAACTGATCAAAATTTAAATCAGTTTTAATTTTCTTATACTTACGTTTTATATTATAGTCACGGTACGAACTACTATGAAGAATGGAAAACTAAATTTAGTAAACTTAACATACTTGTATAGTGATTACAATTAAATATCTACAGCAGCAGGAATTACCGTAGTTACTGTGGCATACTAGTTATATATTGTCACTGCATATCGATACGTATACGCTGGCAACCCTGTTAAAAGTATATAATTGATGTATATTCTATATTGTGTACTGTACACTATATAGATGAATGAGAATGGATGCGAAATCGGTCATTTTGCAAGCTGCCCTAATTGATCCATGTTATTCTGATATTCTCTAATATTTCTCAGACTCATTTATCTAACAAACTCTCTTGACATATCGGACGATTATTCCTTAATCAAGCCACTATATATTACAGCTATAATTTGCTATAGTAAACTATATGTCTTAACATAAAATAAAAACTGTTATAGTAATTAAGATTAATTGATTACAATATTAACTATCTACGGAACTTAGATACTCTTTGATAGCAGCTAGCATTGATAAATCATCTAGACATTCTTACTTGATTACTAAATTAATGCAACAATATTTATGGTCACGGACATCTACCGACTAAGGATTCTAGATAACTAAAACATAGTATGTCCATTTCCGAGATTTTTATAGCAAAATCTATAATCCGTTGTTAATCGAGATTAAATTATAAGGACTACTTTAATAAATCAGTTCTCTTGTCTTAACGTGTAAATGTAAAGGCTTTTGAATTCTTTCATAGAGTTAAAAGATATGAGAGCCAAGATATTTCTTAAACTCAGAGATTTTGTCGCTACGTAGCTCCGGTTACGAAGCTGGTTTCTGCCAATTAAAGAATGCATTAACTTTGTGATCAGCATGATCTATGGTAAAATTTAAGACACTGGCCTTCGTAAATTTTGATTGTCGAGGCTATGTTATTAGTATCGTTTGTGTTTAGCTAGGAAATTATAAACGGGCAGGCATTGAGAGAGTAAATATCTGTTGTAATCACTATTTTAAAACATTAAAGTTGCACCTTTTATATTATGCTAGCGATTGATTACAACTTTAAAGAAAATAGAGAGAAAATTTGCTAGAAAGATGTTATATATTTTGATTTTGTAGTATACAAGTATATCGTATTTGGGTAGTATTATGTAATTACTTACGAGATATACTCTAATTATAAATATACCTATTCTACTGCATTCAAAGCAGCAGTGATTAAAATCGTAAAATTGCATCATTAAAGCACTTTCATAATGCAAACCCACGGCATCAATTTATAATAGGAATAGCCTAGTATTAACAAATTCAGAATTTATCTAACAACAAAGGCTAGACTCATTATTATGCTAACTAGTATCTGCGAGTTAAATGAATTAAATAGCATCTTATGTAAAGATTAAAATGAGCTAACCAGAGATTTCAACGCATAAAGTATTTATGATCTGAATAAAAAAGTTTTGTAACAACAGTTTAAAAGTATTCGAGATCTAATATAACTGTAAAGTAGAGATTATGATTTATTTCGATGTCGCTTGTACCTACACAATATTTTAGATACGTAAATAAATACGGCGATTTTAGTATTTACAATTTACAAATCGAGCTTATATTAACGTCTTCTATTTTAGGACCATAATTAACTAATCTACAAAACATAGACCCAATTTTTGGTAATCCTTCATGCTTACGTTCAGATATTGGTTATCGTGCAATGCAAAAGTACATTTTTATTCTTAATCATAGTTGGCCAGTGACTTACATTTATACATCGCGAACCAAGATCTTATGTTGTAAGTTACATTATGGTTTAAATCTATGGCTCTCTTGTATATCACATTGATTGTAAAAGCATAAATACAGCTAAACTTTTAAAAGTATCCTGCGATAGTTGTAGTTGATGGTGTAACTTAGTTATATTCTTATGATTTTCATAGCAGTTTGCACAGTGGCCTATAGCAACCATCTTCTCCATCTCATACGATACTCAATCTGTATAGAAAGTTTATATTTTCTAACTCAAAATCTTATGATTTAGTCTTGCAGTTGTAGTACGTGTTATAGCTCAAGCCCTCTGCTATACAATAAATTAGATCGTAGTTTTTAGCTTGAAAATAAATATTTTTCAATAGTGTTTCATCCTCGCATTATAGATTACACACATACAATAAATTATTATATCTTATTTTGATAATTGACCTATAAATCTTGCATCAAGATGAAGACTTCTTTCTGCTTCAGATCTCATTAGTTGTTGATTTTACCTACTTTGCTTATATTAACTTCACGGTAGCTTATACGCTAATTTAAAGTAACGATCTACTATCCGATATGAATTATAGCGCCTATTAGAGTCAGTTATTTTCCTTGTGAAATATCTTGTTTCAATCTTAATAAGATTATTACAACAGATACATCAAACTTCTCATTACAAACAGCTGCACTTGCTCCCATACGGTACAGACATTTATAGGCTATAATAACCATTTTAATTGTTACTGCATATCACGAAGTATAATAGAGAGTGTGATACTATGCTATCATGGATATTTTTAAGAACTGCTGATAGATTAGCAAGAGAAAATCTATTATTATGGACAATATATGGAAAATATATCTACTTCTGCTCATCTTCTTTATAATACTTTAAATAAAGCCAAAGCCATAAGCAAATGTGGAAATTAAAAGTACTACTTGCCGTAAGCTGTATGTATCATCGGTACTTTAATTACAAACGAACTATATGCAGCAGATATGGTATCTATATTATGGAATAGATTTTTTCTAGGTCGATAATAGATATTTTTTCTTTCATTTGACTCATTAATTATAAACTAACAACATATTAATATAATTTAAAAATTTTAATGGTTCTGTAATTGATGTAGCGTAAATTAATTATTGAAATACAAAAAAATAAAGCCAAATTACATGGAACTAACTGATCAGTAGACTTTAATTTGATAGCTAAGATTAAAGCATAATGGGCATTACATACTTGCAAGGCAAAGAATTACAAGCTTTGTAATATGCATTTGTTTTCACTCTCATGCTCCCTAACATACTTTAGAGTCTCTAGGATAGTAATGAAGATAGTGGCTGAATATTGTATTTATATTAATGCATATGTTGAATATTTAAACGACAGCATCAAACTGTGCTGATCTTTCAACATCATTGGCAATAAGGAGTACAGCTATAGTTACAGTCATGATGACTTCTACATGAAGATATTAGATTTACATTACAAAATTGATTGAAGATTGTAGAGTAGATGATCACATAACAATGCTTGAACTCAATCTTTAAGTTCATTTTGGCAGTATTAAACCTAAAGTTACCAAGTTATATTAGAAACTCTGTTGTTACATCCGCTTAAAATAGGAAAGGCTAACTAAAGCTTACACTAAAAAAGAATACAGAAATAAATTACTAAAATACCCTGCTACTCGGTGCGAAGACTTCTTCTTGGAGAGGCATATCATTTATAATTATGGAACTACTTCTAATTGAACCACCCCGTAAGGAACCACCTTGAACAGAATTACTTCGAACACTGTAAGTTCTATCAGATCCTTTCATTTCAGTATCAAGATCGCTATCTTTTAAATTTAATCCAACGGCTACAGGGGTGCTATCATCAATTTTACTCAATGAAATCGTTTTTCCTTTCTGCATCTGTTAGTAAAGAGAAAAAAACGAAGTGATATTTAGATAACTGACTAAAAAATTAAGAAGTAACGATACTGACTAAACTATTGAAAGATATCCCAAATTATGCTATCGTAGTCAGTTATCGTGCTACAGCTTACTGTAAATCATAGTGATATAAATATCCTTAGCAATCATCGGAAGTAATCTTACCGCTTTAACTGTAATGTCATGGAAGGAATTTGCTTTCACGCGAGAAATCTTTACTGTATCAACTATTACGACCAAAGCAGTATAGATAAGAAAAGAAAGAATTAAAGATTCATTAACTTTTCCGTTATGACATCAAATTGAATAATTTCATTTTTCACAACAGATTAATTACATTTGATAGCCATAGCAGCTTGTGAAGTGTGCAAACACACGTGAAATCGAAAGCCAACCATCAGCGGGTGAGCAACCTGAAAGAAAATGCTTAGTGATGATGGAATCTTGCAAGAAGATTGAAATCTACACGTGGGTAAGAAAGTTAGTTATTCATGAATGAGTTGATTGATAGATAGCACCATTATGTCTAGCTATTGCTGACTTATAGACAAAGTTGATCGCTCGTGAAAACGTAAACTACTGTACGGAATAAAAAAAATTAAGAAACTTAAAAGTTATGCGATTGTTCAGTGAATTATGCATTCATAGTTAATGTTGATCCTTAAATCTAATCATATACATTAACAGATCTAAATACTATATTCGAAATTGTTCACTGTCCATAAAGCCAAGGCAACAGTTATAAGATTTTAAGCAGTCAATAAAAGGGCAGAGGCAGGATATACAACGTTAGCAGTGTCTAAAATTAATTTGTACTTACACGTGATCCAGGCTGACGGTTTCTTGATCCACTATTTCGGCAATAAATTGTGAAATGAACAGCCAAGTCATGAATATAAACAAGAAATTAAACCAAACAACCCTGCGGTAATGGTAAAAATTGGTAGGAACATGGATGAAGAATCCCATTTGCAAGAACAAGCTAATAACATGTATAATACTCTTGACACCAGAGTAATACAATTTGGACTCCATAGATTCATAATTTTTATCATTGTACAATATAAGCGCTGCACCACCATATAAACCCCAAAATAATAAACCTACCCAGCCCATAACAAAGATCAGAATCTGGGTATATTCATGCTCTTCAGTATCAATCTCTAGTTTATTATACCATAATAGAAATAACACAATTGCTATGCACATGATACCAACAGCGTCTAAGCTAATAGTTAGAATGGTATCGTTGGCAATGGCAGGTAATGCAAAGTAATTGCCGCTAATGTTAAGAATTTTCAATATAGGTATAACTGCTGTTAAAGGGCCCAATGAAAATGCTAGTAATCGACACCAGTTTTCTAAGCCCTGAAATGGTCGGCCACGCCGACGATGAGTATAACAGTTTGATAAATCATCTGTAGCTTGATGAATTTTTTCCAATCCCATAGCTTTTTCATAAAATACTGTGGCACATAATAATCGATAATCGACCACTAATGCATCGTAGACGACTACAAATAAACTGGCAGCGTTATGAATAGCGAAATCGATTCGTCGGCGCTGTAGATTTGCATGAATTTCAAGTAGTGAATCTAACCATTCAAATAAATTCCAGACTGCCATCAGCTTTAGAAACAAAATGGCCTGTAATCGGCGACTTTCAATTGGTTGATGCCCACGCATACGATATCGAATCATACCGGCTTACGGAAATATAAGATAGTAAGAGAAAATAAAGGTTTATAAAGTTTTATAAGGTTTACTAATTATAATTAAAATAATTAATATTGATAGACTAGTTTATTCTTATAGCAAAATGTTTATATATTATAATGATCAATTATCTAAGGTAAAGTATTTATTCAAAAAATAGTAAAAGAAATACATAAAACATTCTATACTACGATCGATTAAAGGTGTAATATTTTTATCTATAATGATTTATTGAGTGAGACTACCCTAGATGTCTGTTTATATGACATGAGCTGTAATGTGGATAGTGCTATGGAGTAACTTTTGTGCAGCAACTGCAAGGTAGTTTTCATATTATAACTTATCTAGGAATGCATCGATCATGATTATCTTATATGTATTTTTTATAGATAATCACATAGCTTTATAATATTGTCCATGTGCCGATAATTAATTAATGTTTATGTAAATTCACTATAAATTGTATGATGTTTCTTTAAGATTTGGATTCAGTTTAGTTTAAGAGACGAATTATTAGCTGTAAATTCCTGGGAATAGGAAGATCGCCAATATTTATAATTGTAATATAGATAGTTATCGGGAAGGACGGACCTGACGATAGACTCGTAGTTTAATTATTTCTTGTTGTAGTTGTAATTTCCTCATTACGGATTTTGATTTATAATATATAATCTATCAAATAGTATATTATTGCTCTCTAAAATAACAATTTATCATGTGAGACTATCGTAGACATACACCCTTTTAAAATATATTGTACTATATATAGTAAAAATTATATTATTTCTCGTAAATCAATGATTTGTTTCGTAAGGCTAAAATACTGTAAATATACATATATATAAAATATATTGCACAATAATCTATCAAATAGTACATTCTTTCCCTTTGAAATAACGATTTATTAAATGAGATTATTCTAAATATACATTCATTTTTAGTTAATGAAATGCATGAATAAAATTTAGAAGACCAGAGCTAGAATGTGAATAAAGATTTCCTGTTATATTTAATAGGATCAAGTAGAAGGACGAGATTAAGATTAGATTATTTAAAGAATTATCTTACCTTGAATTAATTTCTGTACTGTAAATATAATGGCACCAGCATAAAATAACGGCAAATTTCGGATACATAGATCAGAAGGTGCGGTAGTTGCATGTACTTCAGCTGATGTAGGATGTACAGAATGAGGTACTTCAGAATGATTTACTGAACGCTCATGATGTCCTGGGGCAGCTGTATGCGGTGCTGCAGTAGTTGTAACACTAGTTGAATTACAAGATCCAGTACTGTTCAGCAAGATAGGTAGGAATATAAAGACGCTATCAGCTACTGCTAATGGAATAGTTAGCCATGCAATGATATTGATCAAATAGCCTTCATCAGCTTCACGACTATTTCTTTCTGCTACTGCGTTAGTTTGTTCATGCTCAATTGATAGAACATTCTGATGAGAGTGAAAGTGGGGATAACGCTTTCCTATTTCATGTGCTAACTTTTCGTTATTGGCTGTGGCCGATATAGTATCACCCTGAGAACTTTTAATATGTTCATCTTCACAGTCTCTTAATTGATTGACCATTATCAGGCCGTTAAGTAGCTTCCTCTTATCTGTAAATAAATATATTGTATATGCAACCATACCTACGCAACCAATTATAGCCACGCTGACGATACGGTAACCTCTCAAAATAGCGTTCGTGAAAATAGTGGTATTTAAGATAGCAGATCCACGAAAGATAAATGTTAAAACAATAAGTATCAACCAAAAAGCAAAGCTAACTGCCGGGATTTTAGTTACCCTATGAGATAGATATCCTAAGGGGGGAAAAAAATAGATCAGTTCTTGTATAAAGCAATATAGCACTGTATATTTCCTTTTATCTAGCCTGTATTTGTGTTAACCATTGCATCGTGGGTAACTCAATCATGATTTGTTATAAATCATAGAAGCTGTAGCAAAAGATATATTATGTACGAATCCTTATATATTTCTGTATTGAATAAGCAAGATATTTATATCTCAGTATATCATGTAATAGTAAAGACACTTGTTAGTTAATGAAACATTATAACTAACGCAGCAGCTTAGGAATAAGGGAATTATAAACGCTATATAAACTCTTAGATTCATCAATAAAATTAGTCTTTCTTCTTCATCCTCAATAACTCTCGTTTAGTAACATCAGTAAACTAAATATATAATTAAAACTAATGAAGAAACTGTTATAATCTACCGATATATTAGATATCTATATTTTGTAGAAGAAAACTTTTCACGCTAATTTGGTTTACTAACGTTTTGAATAACTGAAGTGCAATTAATGTACTGTATATTTAAATATGTATTGAGATGCTTATCGATTTCTAATAAAAAAAAGGAGCTAATTTTTTCTTTTAGTTAGTTTCAGGCCTTAACTTATACTGTAGAATTTAGTATCAGGATGTCTGTTCTCTTCATTACAATCATCACAGTTCGTAATTTCTTGATTGGGGTTTGCTAGTATTACTTTGTGTTTATAATAAAATTATCAACTATCAAGATGATATTGTCGCTACCCTAACTTCATTAAATTTTCTAGCTAAATCAGCCATAATATGAGTAAGATCTTTATCAGGTTATCATTACAAATTATATATTTCTAAAATATTACTGTTGATATTTAAATGGCTATAATCATATAGGCAGCGATATTCTACTCTTAAAATAATATGATGATTAAATATAAAGGAAGATTTGATGGTATAATTTCTTATTCGAAACTATGATAATTACTTGAACATGGGATAATGAAGGCAACAAGTAGAAATGCACCAGTCCAAGCGGCAAGTAAAATACTCGAAGCGTCAGTGTCTTCATTTGTACAATGCGCACGCGGACAGGCTTCGGATGATTGCCTACTCGTATGCTTTACTGCTGCTCCAATTAAGTGAAATTCTCCACCATGATTTGGATCGTAAAGATGCGCCATTTTCTGTTAATTATATGATTTCACGACTCTTGTTATGGAAGAAATAAAGGTCTTATATCACTATATATAATTTAGTAACATGATTTTGCAATAGTATTTGCGCCATAAATCTAGAAATTATCAACTCCTACAATATACGTGCTTAAAGGTAAATATCTTCCTTAGAAATTTAATTTACCAACAATTATGTTATTTAGCTATCAAGATTAAAATACTGTGCAGCATATATGTATAGGATTATCAGAGTAATATGTGTAAATTGAAAATCGGCTTTAGATATACTATGCAATGTCTTAATTATATAAGGCTCCACATGATCAGAATTAAGATTATTCTATTTGATTCTGCCATCGAAATTTGTAGGACAAAGATTAATCAGGTCTTCGTGAATTTTACAAGTATATCAGATGGTTAATACATTTCTAGATTATAGCTACTTTCTTTAGACTATCAAATGTAGCATGCTTTGCAATGAAATCTGTATATACTCTAATCTTTATATAATAATGCCATAAAAATATTTCAGCACTGGCAAATTTTCGGACCCATTTACTTTAGACGTAAAAAGTCTCGCATTTGAAGTACAAATTTCCATGTGCGTAGTGATTCAATACTGGTAAACGCCTCCAGTGAATCAGTGTAAGGCATATACTTAGAATAAGTATCAATATTTCTACTAGTCAGAATTATATTGTCGGTAAAGGTATATTTAGTAACTATGACATGAGCGTAGCTAACTTATAAATTGATTGACTTTTATGAGCTTATTGATAGTGTAAAATGTAAGTTCTGTACCTTAATGTTGCAACAGAAATGCAGTGTTTGCTAATTTGGAATCTAATTTATGGATAAAAGTAAACACATTTTACGTTGCTAACAATTTGTGGGAGGTATTTTATGCAGATAATTTATGTATCTATCATGAGTGATGTGCTTTTGTAGGTTCTAGAGCAAGCTTGGATAAAAGTTATGTTTAAAGATTGTAATTACAAGTTTTGCTAAATCACTAAAACCAGAATGATATTCCGGATAGTAATTCTATTAAACTCATCCCTTAATCTGCATTATGTTCAAATCAATCTTAAATAGACTAAGTTAGAATGTAAAATTTCATTACGGCTACAAATTTCAGGAAAAAATGTGGCTATTTTACGAAAATCAGAATGGATATATATGATTTATTCTAAGCCTCTTCTTTAACAATCTAGGTATTCAAACTATAGATTGTAATAATCTTTATATTCAAAATTTGACTACATTTATTTAATTAATACATTTAGACAACATCTAAATGTTAGAGCTAACAATATTGCTTGCGACTCACGTATGGATATTATACAGCAACTCCACCCTGAACACACCTTGGACACATGTTATCTCCGCATACAAATTATTAATTTATTTTCAGTCAAAAATTCCATTGACATAACCTTCAATTTTGACATTTACGATGGAAAATATTTTTGTGTTGAATATGGAAACATGGTTACAGAATAATTGACTTATAACGATTACGGCTGATTAAGGAAATTTTCGATGTCGACAACTCTTAATCCTAACTTTTTTTCCGTTAAGCAACAATGTATTTTATACTATAACCTGAAATCACTAAACAATGATTCTGATTTATTTTAAAGATCGCGTAAGCGACCAGCAACTAATAAAGTAATCAAATCGTCTAGTTAATCTTCAATATCCAACTAATTTCTTAATGAGTGTCTAATAGTTGTTAATTATTTTAATTATGGTTATTTCGTACCTATTACGAAATTTAGTTATAAATATCGAATGCTTTATTTTACATTTGATTGTTGTTTGCTAAAAACAATAAGATTCGTTAAAAGTTTGATCGATCTACCCTAATTGATGGCATAAAACCAATTAAACTTAGCGAAATGAAGGTACGATATGCTTGGTTCTATCAATCTTAATTCTAATAAATATATGTAGACTTACTTTCTTGTCGATATGAATAAAAGAAGTTGGCGGATCAGAACTAAAACTATTTATCACTATTTTAATAACTTGTGCATGATGTGATCACTGCTTTTTCGTATTTTGAACAAATTAGCCAACATACTATTAGCAGTATTTGAGTTAATTGATTTTGAATTTACAAATTAAAAATAATTACATCACAAAATGCGATTATCAGAATATTTCTATTCTTTTAAATAACTGTTAGCTTATCCTTCCTGTAACTGTCAATATAGTATTGGTTAGGATTAATAAAATCATCCAACTATTATTGGCTGATTGAAAATCATTTAAAAATCAAAGGTGTAGCAGTGGGCATGCAATATAAATAATTTTATAATTATGCCCCTACTAATGTTAATTTAAGATCGCCATAGCTTGTCAACAAGTTAATAAGTTGAAAAGATCATGGATAAACATCAGAGCTACATCCAGTTATGCAACAGGATTGAAATTTTCGAATAATCCTCAGCAATTTTCGATTTTATCAATCATCTCGAACTCTCAAAGAATAAAGTAGATTAGTCAATGGGATGAAAATGAGATAATTTTATGAAGAGGGTGATCTTTGTGTGCCATCAACAATATAAATAGATATTTCCTATATATGTGGGTAAAAGTGATGAGCAAAATCACTATGTAAAATCCTACGGGTATCAATCCAATCTGAGGTTGGCCATCTATATATGGTTAAATATCACGATGTTATTATCACGTCATGTGTATATAGATGTAGTTATGGTACTATATTAAGCTTATCTATATATGTATTCTCATGTTGCCATACTCGGCATGATATTCTATTTGTAATGTCTAAACTAGGGAAACCTTTCTCTTAGTGATGATCTTGTGATCTACGCCAGTAGATCAAAGGTCACAATAAAGAAAGTATATAAACTCATTATTTTAACAATAAAGTCAGTTCTTCAACTTAATTACTGGGTCTCCTTGCTGAGTGCAGATCTAGTACTTGTTACAAAATTTGGAAGTTGTAACAGGCTTATATAATTTATAATTACTATAATTTATGATAGACTACAGAATGAAGAAGAACCAACATAACAATTAATTTGAGGGTGTCATGCAATCTAACCTATAGGTTAATTCATGCGAACCATATATTTTAGAGACAGTATACCTTAGGAAGGTTAATTTAAAAACTTTGAGATCAGAATTTATCAATTCCGTAGTATTTTAAATCAAGTATCATAATTTAAGATAAATTGGGTAAAAAGGGTGTTTATAAACTCGCTTTAATGATTTAATATTTCTAGGACGTCAAAATCTGAATTAGTATGCGCAATAATGTTACTGTATAGATACAAGCATTCCAAGTAAAATAGAAGAACTAATTAAGCAATTTTATAGCCCTTAAAGTATTGCATTCTAGACTATATCTCTAAGCAAAATTGTTAAGATACTAGAGGTTACGGATACTGAACAGAATAAGGAAAGTACATGATTTAATGCTATGGGAGGGGAAGCAGGTTTACCTAATGATCACTAAAACTCATTGGCTAACCTCTGTTTCATTACCAAAATATCCTTGCTAGCTTAAAAGTATTGCTAGTGGTCTAAGCAGAAAATTAAATCGCGATATGCGATACATCAAAGAACACTGGCAAAATTTTTAAGGGAATTTAGTTTTGTGTTGAAATCGAATTTTAACCTAATTGAGTCATAAATTTAATGGCAGTCATTTTTTTCTATACCTCCAGAAGGACTCTAGTCGAATCTCAATAGATTTTTATATAAATGTCAATTTCCTATTGAGAAATACCCGTATTGAGTATGATCTATTAGCGATTATTCTACCAAGTCTTGATGCAATGAATTGATTAGTAATGTTCTGTTTCATAAAATGACAGTTTAAGGATTTTATATCGTATTAAATGCTTGCTTTTATTCTTCGATTATGAAAATAAGAAAAATTTAACGAAACTTGCAAATTATTTGCCTTATTGACTAAGACGTAATGATGCAAAAAAAAATTGGCGTACTCACGCTATTGTTACCTTCGGGAATAACTAATATCCCGGATATTCGAGAGACGATGTAGTGTGAAAAATAAAATTACGGTATCACTACAGCCCAGGCGAGTAATTGACTGTAGAAAATAGATCACGAAGCTGATCCTGCTGTAAAGGAATACATAGGAATTTTCGAAACCTTTCTTTTTACAAATATCATGGGATCGACTTAATGCTTTGGTTGCTGATTGCTCATAAAGGAATAAAGTACTGTAAACTTCAAAGATGCTACGTCACTCTTGGTTAACACAATTTTCTCAGTTATCATCGCAGAGATGCTAGAAAATTGTGGAAATTAAGGTAATGGTTAGAGAATTTGGTCTGAAATATCATTTGTCATAAGAAAAAGTAGGAATCTCCATAATCTTAACAGTATTTTAAAATTTGCCAGTCATCTTGTCAATTTATTTTCAGCATATTAAATTAAACAATTTGCGAGAATAACTCTACAAATTAAGTATTTGTCAACGTCATGCCGTATGGCTTATTTCCCATGTCATAGAAAGGACAGAGGTCAAAGGCGTTGAAATACATCAAACAACTTGATATTAGTATGAGTAAGATTTAAAGTTACAGAATTGCTAACTTAAAGTAACATTTCATTTCATTTCTAGATGAAGCATTGATCATTGTACTCATAAATTGTACTTGATGTAGTTTAGCAATAACTAGATTAATCCAGTTATATCAAGATCGGCCGATAATATAGAAATGACTTACTTTTTTAAGGTTGATGTTTAAACCAGAATAGAATGAATTTAGCAGATAGACATCTATTGATAAGCGGTAGGAAAGAGGGCAGATAGGTATAGTAATAAGGTTGGTAAAAATGGACTCTTTGCTTTCGCTGCTTTTTATTAATATTCGTCGCCTTACACCGCACCGCGGAACAAGCAATAACGTCTGCTATGTCTTTGGACTGCAAGCGCAAGCAACTATATATATATGTATATAAATTATTGATAAAGTAAGTAATTCATACAATCTGATCAA